GTGTGAGTCTCGAGCTCCGGGCTTGCAGTGGGGCTTCGGGATCTCGTGGGAATCAAACTAAATTGTCAAGGTGTCGGGATGATTAGCAATACTATCCTGTTACAATCCCTCTGTAATTTATGCGCCCTAATTGGGGATCCCTCGCGTGCGAGGTCCGGTCGGTTCGTCTCGGAGGGCCTCGCCACGACGGCACACAGAGTCGCTGGACGGTGCGCTGTCGAAGTTTCAGGGTTTGGGTTTAGGGTTTTCTGTAGGGCTGCAGGTTCCCAAATAGTAGGTCTGTTAATGAGTTTCCACTGACGGTATCGCTACAGACCTTGCCAGGCTTCGTCCGAGTGTGGGTGTCAACAAATACAGTAGTAGGTTACTAGCAGCAATAGAGCATGTAACCCTTGAACCCAATTTTTAGGCAACTGGAGCCCTCAGGGGTTTCAATCTCCCACAGGGCACTCGAGAGAGCCCTGGTGCAAAAAGGGCTGACTTCACATGATTCGTGGTGTTTGCGAGCCAGCAGGATCGTCCTGCTTCAGCGGCTTATCTCGTGTATGCGCATGTCCGAATGAGCTTACACACTCGTAGTGGCCCTGGCTGGATAGTCGGACAGACTCTGACTATGAAACTCTTCACGCAGACGCAGGAATCCCACCAGAGTATCCACGATCATCATCCAGATGGCTTCGGTTTGTTCGTCGCCAGTGATGGAGATTCCAGGGTGCAGCGGACTCACGAGCAGCTTCAGCGGCACTTTGCGTAACTGGTCTTAGTATGGAAAACTTGCCGCTGACAGCAACCAATGCAGGTGCCATAGCAAGGTCGGAATTTTACATGCGAGCAAAGGTATTTTGCATTAGTGCGGGTGTTCTGGATAAGCATGTTTTCGTTCATGCGGGGAGACCGCTGGGATGTAGCACTGATATATAGTGGAATCAGCCCGAATAGAAGTTTTATCCGTACCATGGTGCGTTGTGAATGCAGGGCCGCTGCTTTCGCACGCGCCGTTGGAAGATCTTTTCGCCGGATCCGCAGCATTCCTGAGTTCATGTGTTCCTGGCACGAATCTAGACTTTGGCGCTGAACGCACCAGAGTTGCATTCCAGCCCGAGTCATGTGAAGAGAGCATCCTATTTTAGGGTGCCAGAGGCCACGTTGATTCAAAGAACCGGAACTACATGCCGGCTTTGGCCCAGTTATTGGCTCGATTCTCTTTCTGGACAAGCTTCCCAGCTCCCATCATACCTTGTGACAGGGTTCTCGAGCAGAGGAAGCAGTGTGTATATATATATATATATATATGGAGTTATGTTGATACTTAGTTTTTATATGCGGCGTATATATTTATGAATAAAAAAATATGTGTATAGACACACACACACACGTGTATATATATATATACACATGTATATGTACATACATCAACAGATGTGTATATACAAATACAATATGCATGCTGCTTCAGTCCCACCACCGCCACCTGCGACTGAAGCCACATTTCAAGATGCTCAAGTACTGTGTTTAGACTTAGACAGTTAAAGCTGCACCACCGCAGAGCCAGCCATGGGTGCTATTTGTACAGTGGAGCAGGCCGGCGAGCTGGAAGCCCAGAATGTCCGTGCACAGTGTGGCAGACAGGAGAGCTGAAATGCTACACCAGGAGGCGAGCATACCACTTGCAGCTCGGAGCGGGCAATATATGTAATCCTTGAGACAACTTCGCATTTTAAGCCTCTGAAACGCAGTGTAGGTCAGATGCGTAGCGGGGCGCGGAGAGTCGGAAGTAAGCGGCATGGCAGTGCGAAACCTGCGCACAGACCATCATGAGCATCTTGCTGAGGAAGGGATCGATGGCCTGGGCCTCGGCGCATCCCAATGGGAAGACTTTGCACACTTGGAATCCCAAGCGTGCTCGCAGCAACATTTAGCAGAATGAACTGTGCTCCCAAATCGGCTGCTGCACTACTCGCGGGCGTGCGGTTGGGGTTTCACGTCATATAACCGGGTGCGATAGTTTGCAACTTCTTCTCGCGACCTCCAGTCTTCTTGTTAAGCACATCGAAGTGCTCCCTTCCACGACTTCCAACAAAATCCGGTCAGATCGGTGTGTTTAACAGCTGAGGAGCTTGCAGCCTCTTCTGCATGAGCTTCCGTAGCGAGCTTGGATTCGGCCTTCAGGTCTTCACGCCAAGCTGCAAGGCCAATGACTGCAAAGCCGAAGAGGCAGGGAAACCTCGAAATAGGTTTCCAGAACTGAAGCGGCAAATAGCTCTCCCTGGGTTTCGGAACGAATCGGGGATGTTTTTCAGAGGAGACTCGGCTTCGTAAAGTTTTATCGCGCACAGTTGTCTTGTGGATGATACGGCTTAAATCTGTATGTACTACCACAGCCTGAGCTACGCCTGTGACTCTGAAAGCGAAGAGAAACATGAACAATCAACACATTTTGCCTGTGCAAACCCAGTGCGCAGCACGCGGCCCCAAAGCCTTTGTGCAACTTTTGTCACATGTTGAAATCCTGCGTCCTCACGCAGGCTTCGACTTCGTATCCGGAGCTGTACGAATGGAAGGAGGCGCTCCAGCCGTGTGCAGCTGACTTCATATGCATATAGGAGCCCTGGAATCTGTGCAGTCGTCTTTGATCTTAAAAAGATGATAAAGCTGACAGTAGCGATGCTGACGATTGTCAACTGTTGCTGCTGTTCCTGTTCCTGTTAGTGTGACTGTTGCTGCTGCTGCTGCTGCTGCTGCTGCTGCTGCTGCTGCTGCTGCTGCTGCTGCTGCTGGCGCTGGCGCTGCTGGTGGTGGTACTGGTGGTGATTGTTTGTGTGTGTGGGTGTTTCCATTTGTGTAGCTGTACTTGTTGCTCTTGTTATTGTTATTGTCATTGCTGTTGGTATCGGTGGTCTTGGTTGTGGCGGCGGTGTCGTTCTTGTTTTTGAGTCTTGTTGCGAGTTACACAGGCAGTGGTGGAAGAGATACCAAAGACTAGCGATTGTCCTGGTGTTAAGCACATGCAGATGTGTGACCAGGACCGTGGCTCTGGCCCTTCGGTACCCAGACCGGAGGCAGCAGCTCTTGTGAAGGCTTTATGGGCTCCAGACTCTCGGTGCAAGACTCGCTTCTGTAGTCGCCCAAACCCCAAATGCAGACGCATGTTCCTTCTATGCGTCGGGCGTAGCAACCTTCCAATTAGTCTTGCGATTCAGGGTGAGGCAGCGGAGACGGCCGGCAGGAACTTACTGGTGTGGGGTCATATCATTGTAACGCCTTCCTGCACAACTAAGCCCAGAGCTGTGACATGGAGGATCCCTGCGACAGCCTTCCAGCCAGGATGAAGCGGCATGTCCGCCACTCAAGGGCACGACACTTTGCTGTTCTAGAGGACATAGTACATAGGGTTCAGAGATGTTTAGCAGCGATTGGTCTTCGAGATTCTTCTGTGGTGGAGGATTCGATCCATGCGGTTCGGATATTGCTTCACCAGATCGAGAGCCAAGTACGGTATGCGGGGGAGCAACGTCGCTGCTGTACATAGAGCTACACAGGCGCCGATGACGCATGCCGCGACGCTCCATCCGCTGTCGAAGACGAAACCTTGGGACAAGGACGAGCCCGCTTGGCAGCAGCATGCAGCTGACAGACCGGAGTGCAACCACTCAAAGCTTCTCCAAAAGATATGTCGCCTTTCTGATCCGCCTCTGTAACCCACGGTGCTTCTGCCAAGCCGCCGGCACCTGACAAGATCGGAGCGTTTTGTAGGCTGGCTGACTCCAAGCAGTCCATACATCAGGTACAAACTGTCAACCTTTTTTTTTCCCGCGCCAGGAGAAGACGATGTCCACGAAGCATTCCATGCCTTCCTCCGAGTACATGGGCCCCATCGACAGCGGCATCTCCAACATGTAAGGCAAGTGTTTCTTTATGGGGAGGGACCTGCCTACTGGTGTGAGCTTGGTCTAAAGTCTAGGGTTTGCCCTGGCGTTGTTCACAAATCCCCGGAGGCTCGTGGCATGGAGCCGAGTTTAAAAGCAACGCCGTTCCCAAATACCGCAGCCCTTCTCAATAGTCTGCTCATAGCGGCACGCATTGCCATTACGATTGTGCCTATTGTTCCTCTTGCCCGTCATGATTGCTGCCATATATCTTGCTCTTGTGCTGGTCATGCACATGGTCGATTTGTCCCAGGTGGTGCAGGAGCGTGGTGGCTTCCTGTTATTGTCAATGCCTTTTGTTTTTGAGTACTATGACATGTAGAGAAGCATAATTAGAATCAGAACGCATCGGGAGTTTGACTCGGCAATGGCTGACTCCACGAGCTTGCCTTGTAGATCCCTTGTAGAATTGTAGGACAATCTAGGAATCTAGGTAGCTCTGCAGGGTTCAGGTATCTGGTTAAGGGCAGGAGAGCATTGCTTTGTGCAGGGGTCTGTAGTGTCAGCAAAACTTACCCTGTCGGTAAGCATGCCAAGAATGGAATCATCCGAGCCCTTCGTATTCCTGCGCCCTGTTCTCCTAGCTTCGTGTCATACGGGTGGACTCTCTTTGGGCCGGCTGCCGGTACCAGAAGCATATGTATACCCATATATGCATATCCATGCATTTGTGCGTGTTCATACATAAATAAATAAAATTAGACAAATAAATAAACAAAAATAAAAAAGTGTATAATATATATATATATATATACACGTGCATATGTTTGGTGCCCGTAAATATATCTGTGTATGCACACATGTATACATGTCCGTTGTAAGCTGCAAGCTAGAGGCCTCTCTCCGTCTCTCTCGCTGTTTCCTTCTTTCTCTACATGTGTAACCATACTGTATCATTTGTACATACTTGATTGCATTACGACATACTACGACGTGCGATGTAAGTGTGTGTGTGTGTGTGCGCGCACCTATCTTCTTGGATTCTCGCCGCGGCTGTTCAGCGACCAGTCCGTCCCAACTCAACAGCGGAGCCCCGGTTCTTAGGGACTCAAAGTGTCCGACACCACGGCAGAAATGCGCCACTGAGCTGCAGTCGTTTCTGCTTTGGGTCCGGCAATGGGTAAATGTCGTATTGGGCTAGTGAAAGAACCCGAAGGGTAAGGCCAAGGATTGGCTGTGCGTATGCTTAGCGTAGCTGCACGTGGCTCGAGGTTGGCAAGCAAGGGGTAAGGCAGTGCCTGCCAAAGCATTTTCATTTCGTTGTTAAACATTTGGTGTTTGGTCACTTCGTGTGTCGCGTCGGGCTTCTCAGGTAAGACAGCATTGATCACGGGCATCACCGGACAGGCCCGTTTGTGGCCTCGCGGCCATACTCACAGCAACCCCGACTAGTGTTCGTCATGAGGCCATGTGATCCGATGCAGACACCTGTCAGGATGGATCCTACCTCGCGGAGTTTCTGTTGGAGAAGGGCTACTGTGTCCACGGCATCATCCGAAGATCGTCATCGTTTAACACAGCCCGGAACTCAGAACCAGAACTGACAGAGAGAAAGAGCAAGAGCATACACGGATGTGTCTGTCTGTCGATCGATCGGACATCTACCTATCTACCTATCTTATCGATCTATCTATCTATCTATCTATCTATCTATCTATATCGATCTATCTCTATCTATCTACATCTATCTATCTATATATCTATCTATCTATCTACCTATCTATCTACCTATCTATCTATCTATCAAACTATCTATCGAATTATCAATCAATCAATCAATCAATCAATCAATGTATCTATCCAGATGATTCCAGGATGGTTAGGTAGATGTGTTTAAGAGTATGCATATTAGTTCGTAACATTGTCAAAGGCTTGAAGTGTGGCCGCCACGAGGAACTGCAGCAAATCCGACAAGCTGATGCACTGAGTATGCAAATCCGGACTACAAGCATCACTACAGTGAAAGTGTACGGAGGTGTGGTGTGCTTCCGTTGGTCCTCCCCAGTCGGTATTTCTAGCGAACAACAATGCGAAGACATGAAAGCCCACCGTTGTCAGACGCTGGACCTTCTGCCCTCTAGCTTCTGGCCTGAAGCTCCAGCTCTGCTCGCAGCCACTCTACCCTTGTCCGCAGTTTTCCATAGCCGAAGGCACGCATCGATCACATCTTCGACAAGGCGCACCGCGGGCTTGTGGTAGATTACATGCGAGCGTAGGACCGCGTAGGAATGCACGCGCAGGCATTTGCAGTTGGGGGTGTTCGGACCGCGATGTGCCAGCCGAAAGAACCTAGAGAAGAGATTCGGCCGTCTCGCACCGCCATGCTACTTCAAATCGCATTGCTCTGATGTTTCAAAGTTGTAGCCAAGAATACCCATGCAGAGCAACGCCGATGCTGCCCTTCGCCCGTGGTGAAGAATGCTCCCGCAGCACAGAACAGCATTTATGATCTGACAGCAGCCTTGAAGCATCCTGGAGGTGAACCTGCACTATGGCGACCTCGTCGACTCTAGCAACCTAGCCTCCATCATGGCCAAGGCGCGAGAGAACGTTTATTCTTCACATGGGAAGTGCACAGGAGGAGGTTGTGCTGCTTTTATACGGAGATACACGAAGATCCGGACTTCAACCGAGCGCGATTGTTGTTGTGCCGGCAACACCTGTTCTAGAAGGTTAATATTCGCCGTCAGTCAAACACTTCGTGCGTGTGCGTGGGCGTGTCTTCAATATGTTCATTGGATCGCCAACAAACAGCTGTTTAGTCTAAGGCCCGGTTCGCAGCATTACTTATATCGAAAATGGCAACAACGAAGACAGCAGCAGCAGCAGCAGCAGCCGACAATTCGAAGCACGACAGGACTGACATTGAGAATAACAGCATCAGCAGCAGCAACGCCTGCCCCTCACCACTCGTGTACGCAGACTTCGTGTCTCCCCTTCCAACTAAATATTAGACCACGACCGGCATAACTTCCGGCCAAGACAGCAAGATACAGCAACTACGTCGCCGAGGACCACGACGGGTCACCGTTGCTTCCGAGCAACACCGCTTTCCACAAGAAGGGAGCTACAATCCTAACAAGGGCGCAGTGCGACTCGATGCTGTCATGGCTTCTACAATCGCGACCCGCACGAGCAGCGGTATTTGCGGTCGCCAGCACACTCATAGTCGTAGCTGTAGCAATCCTAGTAGCAGTCCTCGTAGTTGTTGTCGGGCTAGTATAGCTCATGGTCAGAAAAGCGCAGCATGCTGAGCATAGTCGCACTACTACAAAACGGCTTTCGACTTTGGTGGCTGCCGATCTGAGCCGCCTGGCAGGTCAAGCCTGATGAAGTTGCTTGGCTTTCTTGGAGTTACGGGATCTCATATGACGAGTTTCACCCATTTCTCCTATGATTGATGTATGTCAAAGCAGGCAGCACGAAATGGTGTAGGATAGTGGTTTCATGGCTTTGGGCAGATAGCGTTTTTCAGAGTTCAAGTTGTTTGCATGAGAGGGCTGGGACGACAGGGGAAAGGAGTTGGTCGCTTGAGTTGAGTGTGAACTAATGTCTTCATGATTTGGGAAGCCAAATCAACCTTCTCGACTTCGCCAAAGTTTGTGGCCGCAAAGTCATAGGTGCTGCTCTAGCTGCTAACACCAAAGCCGAGAAGCGCAAGGTCTACAATCTGGCAGCGCAGTCCCACGTCAAGGCGCAACCAGCCCTGGGGTTTCACCCGGTTGCGTTGAGGTCGGGTCCTGCTCGGTGGTCCAATTTCTCATAGCGGCTCCTGTTCAACGAACGACATGTAAGCGCACACCAGTTTCAACACGCCAGCTTGTTTTTGTGCTGTTTGTAGCGGTTTGCATGTTAAATTGCGTGAGCAGATTCTGGCAAGACGAGAAGACATGAGTGCAAACGGGATGGCGTTCGCCCAGGATCTCGTTTCCAACACAGCTTCAATGTAAGCACCAGCTGCTTTCCCAACTTGTAAATCCAATTTGCGCCTATACACCTTGTGTTCCGCCTTCAACATGTTTACAGTCTCGATTGCGGGAGATCTGATACTCCAAACGATCCAACCCAGGATGGGCAGATTGTTCCATTGGCATATCCTTAGAACGGATGGTCTAGACTGCTGTAGTAGCTTGGTGCTGCGATAGCGGCCGATAGTGAACACAGGTCTCTTTCGAAGAGCCGGAGTACACGGCACAGGCTGATGGTGGCTCGGCTGCAAGCCTGTGAAGTCTGTTCGCTGATGGACGATAGCCGATAGCAGTCACGAGTCAGTGCAAGCGTCAACTCTCGCTTGACATCGCTATGGACAGCCAAGAGTAATTACGAATAGGTATTAGTACAAACAACCAAACAACTGGGTCGAGCGACCGGTAGTACTATGCAGAAGAGCCGGTCTTATGATCATGCTAGCTGTGTGTGGTTTCACGCCAGCGAGCTTTCGTGTTTCGAGCAGTCTTGGCGTGGCAGAAATCTGCACTTCAGGGTCTTCGGCAGACCCTGACCTGAAGCATAGGCTTCCTACTGTAGAAGCCCTCTGATCTGTGCAAAAGCTTCATAGAAGCTGCGGCCGAGACGTCTCGCATAGCTTTTTTGCTTGCAATTGGGGTGGTTCTGGATTTACAAGGACCGGTTCTGGCACACAAGTGCTTCAGGGACCTGGGGAGGGGGGGGGTGCTTTTGTGGACACCAGGCGTGGGAACTCTCCGGCTTCTGGAAGCAATCCGCACAGCACCACGGCTGCAGCTACAGCTTTGCCTGGGAGTCCCTTTGCCCATGTGCAGATGCTCCACCTGCAATGCAGTGGATGGACAGTTTATGATCCCCCAACCCAGCGCGAGTGGCAGCAGAAGTTACTCTGTTCAGTATACTTACTCTGCGGACGGCGTTCTGCACAGGTGGGCCTGGAGAAAACCACCAGGTTCTATCAGGCATCGACATCGGAGCTTTACGGTATGGTGCAGGACTGGCACCGTGAGATTGCTGCATGTAGCATCACACCCCCTAAGACAACTCTCCCTCCGGAACAGTTATGGCCGCAGCAAAATGTGCAATCATCACCATCACCACCGCACAGATCACAGAGCTTCAGCCGTGACTATGAAGCCAGGAAGTGCCGCAGAGAGAGACCACTCCCTTCTACCCTCGCTCGCCCTATGCCGTGGCGAAGCTCTACGCCTACTGGATTGCAGGGATCTCGGAGTTTTCGAAAGCCCGAGGTATTCAAGTCTTCATGGATCAACGCGCGCTTCATGTTCGTCCAGCCTTGTGGGAACTCCTGGCACGGGAGGGTGGCAGTCGGTTGAAACCCGATGCTGCAGGAAAAATGGGAAGCGCCACGGGGATCAGTATTAGTATTGCCGCAGAATGACTTCAGAGGCCAGTACTGCAGGAGCCTGCCACATGCCCAGGTGTAGGTTTCACGAGATTGTTAAGAAATGATTGAACCGAAGTCCTGACAAGCTTAAGCCCTGTGCTACCTGCGCTTAGAGACCCAGACAAGGGCTGAGATCGCTAGAGTGACACATGCAGGGAACAGGGCTAAAACAGTGAGTTAGAGGTCTGAGAGATTATTCCAGATACTGTAAAGTTTGGCACAGCTTCTGAAGATTTGAACCTTTCAGCGAGGTGGTCAACTACCGCGAAGCATACGAGATGCCTCTACTCGGCAAGGAGACTTATCCATACCTCGAGTAGATGGCCTTTCAGTCAGCACACGCTACAGAGGTACTTTGACATGTAATTATGTTGCTGAGTCTAGAAAGAGAGTGATGTTTCTAAATACCAGAGCTTTTGTCGCTCGCAGTGTTGCCCGGACGCCGTGACCTGCTTCGAAGTCTCTGGGTTCCCAACCGTAGGCCCGAAACTTAAGCCCAGCGCGGACCAGCAGCCCTTCACAAATATTTATCGCATGAAACAATGCCTTCAGCCTTCCCATGTTGACATTCCGGGATTTTCGATTGGCGAACTTCTAGTCCCCAAGCCTCCAGATGCCGAAGCTTGCGCGAGGTATACATGTAATACACCAACATGTCTTGTGTGTGTGTCCATTTGTCAACTTGTGTGAAGATGTGCATAAATAAAGAAGGCTCCAAGTATGCGTCAAGATGCTCACTTGCATGTACTTGATCTCAGTCAGTGCCAACAGCGAGTCGAATTTGGGGTTGTCACGAGGCCTGGCCTCTAGTCACACTGAAACACGCGCACGTACGTGCCCATCATCTGCCATGTCCCATCCCAGACCGGGCTAGAGCCCAGGTTCGCTGTCAATGGCATCTTGTTCAATCACGAATCGCCTCGTCGAGGAGGTTCCCGGAGAGAAAGAAAGCGAAGAGAGAGAGAAACAAAGTTCTGGCTTACCTTCAAATTCAAAGGAGGAGGAGTAGGAGGCACTAGCTCTAGATATTTCCAGCAGTTGGAAGGAGCTGGAGGAGGAGGAGGAAGAGCAGTAGGAGTTGTTGTCGGTCGCGGCTGTTACAGCGGAGCAGAGGTGTTTGTGTCGTAGCAGGAGGAGGAGCAGCAGCACCAGTGCTGGTAGTGATAGTGACCGGAAGTGGTGGCAGCATCGGAGAGAACAGCGGCTGATGTAACAATAGGCGTGCACGCCTTCCATAGTGTTTCTGCGCAAAGCCGAAGTGCAAGAGTCCACAGCCCAATGAAGCCATCCCCGACAAGCTTGCAAGATGGAGTAGGCGCGCGTGCACACACATACACAACGCACCTCCTCCGAACGGTACCTCAAAGTTTGGACCCGCCCCACTACTACGGCCATGGAGGCACTTTCGTGACCAAGAAAGTCACGGCCAACGTGGCGCAGGTCATGGCAGGCAGTGCCGAGGGACACAAGACCAGATTGACAGCTTCAAGGGATTCAGCTTTTTGCTGGCACCAAGAGGCACGCGCGACCGGATACTGCTGGGAAACTTGGACTCCAAGCGTGACTGGGGCCATGCCAAGGACCGGCTTGAGGTGTAGTTCGGGTAGTTTGCGACTGTCGCATGTCGCCTTGGAGTCTGAGTCGTACGCCCAACGTTCCTGCTCCCAGGGACGTTTGCCGGATTGGTACAGACCTAGGAGCGAGCCGGGTTGCCAGGACTATGTGCGCATGATGTGGATGATGCTGCAAGTGGAGAAGCCAGACGATTTTGTCGTGGCCACCAACAAGCACCTGCGCTTTAAAGACTAGGGACGCCTAAGCCTTTCGGCTTGAGCGTGGAGTTCAACTCTTGTCTTTTGGCCGTCTCAGGATATGCAACCTACCTTAAGTTACTGCTTAGTCGGCTCTGGGCTGCTTCGGCATTGGGTTAACACTGCCGGCCATCATCCAAAGCCAGCCAGCACGGCCACAGTGAGGACAGAGGGAAGAAAGCAGTGGCCGCAAGTTGTGCCAGGCTGTGTGGGCAGTTGGTAACCGAGGCAGTACAGCGTGCGAGATTTGGTCACTCTGTGCTTCGAGATGGACACTTGGCACAAGCGGGGCCCCGGTATTTGGATTTGTTTTTGGCGGAAGCGGTCAAACAGGCGTGCGGAGGGACAGCGTTCTTTGCAACACTACGTTACTACTTTTCGGCGGAGTGTCTTGCTTATATAGAACAGGCGCAGAGGAAGGAAGAGCATTCAGGTTCGCAAATTCCGCTGCACACGCTCTTCGACAACCTTGGGCATGGTCCGTACAGGGCGCACATGTTTGTTGTCTGGGGCATACTGTAGTAAGTAAGACCGGGCAGTGGCTCGAATCTAGCAAGCCCTGCCAGACCTGCCAGATCCATCCATTTACGAGTGCCCCAACGGACAAAAGATCATCCACACTGAAGTCGCATGGAAAGGTTAAACTTTATTCTTCAAGCTCGCGACGAATGTCTCAGTCGATCCTGCAAAGCCTCAACCGAGAGAGATGCAACAGACACAGCTCAGGTGGGCAGACCGGTGATTTGGCACCTCGGCTGTGGCTTCGGGGTATAAGCGGTATAAGGCTTACGAACAAGATTGATGGGGTTTTGTTGTTCGTGGATTTGGGAGGAATGTCGAAAGGGGAGTATGTACAGCTTTGCTAGTATGCTCACGAAAAGTTGGGCTTGCTGGGTTTCGTCTTAGGGTTGAGCCGAAGACTTGCAAGACCTGCATGTTTTCACAGTGCCTGTGCAACTTAGTATTGGGTCTTCAATCTGGCTTTTAATCTGCAGCATCCCAGAAGTTGACCAACTTCTTCATCCGTTATTGAAATGGAAGTTCTGGCCCAAATGATTCCAGCAAACCTGACACCTAGTGACTAGTGCTGTTTACACGACCACACACACAAGTGATCCGTGCTGCCCACCCGGAGGCCGGAGCAAATGCAACCGTGACGCTCGAAATCCATCACATGTTGATTTGAGCGAATCCACTACCAGCTCTACTTGGGTCTTTTCAACATCAAGTAGTACTTATTGAGCAGATTCCTGCCCCAATGGCAGTAGTGCTAGTGCCATCGTCGCTGCACAGCCGGACGTCAGCCTGGTCCCCAATCACGAAGCCCTCTTACCCATCTAGACGAGAGTCGCCTCACCCGAGGAGCTGCAGCCGGCACTAATTACAGCCTGCAGGCCTTCACCCCTCAATTACAATAGTTGCAAGCAGACAAGCCCAAAACACTCAACCGACTTCAGGCGCGGAACAGGCCTCGAGGAGGAAGGAGTGGACGAGAAGAGTGGCCAGGTGTTGGTCCAGGTGCCGTTCGAACCAGAAGCCCCACTTTGAAGCCTAAATCCTTAACAGTTCGCACTGGAGGAGTTACGGGGTCATGGTGGGAGGAAGGTGTCAGGTCAAGTCTCGATGTTTGCAACCGACTTCCAGCCGCTCTCTCTGGAGGAGGAGAGTCTCCTCCTCCTCCCCTTTCGTTTGTGCGTTACTACTTTTTCCATCGCCACAGCTACTACTTACTACGGCTCCTTCTGCTGTTGCTACTCGTAATGCCTGCTGCTGCTGCTGCTGCTGCTGCTGCTGCTGCTGCTGTTGCTGCTGCTGCTGCTGCTGCTGCTACTACCGCGACTGACCACCACAGCCACCATGACCGCTGCGACCCGGACACGGCGACCAGGGACCCCCGACGGCAAGGATTCCAGGTGTAACAAAGCAGAAAAGACGCCTGGCCCATGAAGAATCCCTGCTTGAAAAACGCAGGTCTCTCCGAAGTATTTCCGACCAACCGAAGTGGAGACGCTCCTGGGCGATCCGAAGAAAGCCAGCGAAAAGCTGGGATGGTAGCTTGCCTGAAATATCTGGACGGAAAGTCGGAAGAGTCCAAGGTGATTGACGTTTGTCGGTCGTCCCTGTTGTGTTTTATGTTTCGGCTGAATAGTGCGATCAGCTTGCTTAGGGACTGCGGATGTGCCTGCAGATCTTTTTGTCAGAATTCAGAATGGCTTGGAGGCCTCAGTGCCTGGGGCAGGATCCAGGTCTCATGGTACAGTCATCGCCTTTAAACCAGGGACCGTTTCCCAACATTTTTCTGGCATTTGCAGTTATGGGAGGGTGTTTTGAAGTCTGTCTGTCTTACACGAAGTCGAGTTTGCAGCTCAAGTTCCTTCATGCGACACTGTGGTAGCAGATGCCAAGCTGTGGGGTCGTGTTCGCCTGTCCGGGTGGATCTGGTTTTCGAGAAGCCACGATAGCTTTACGGCTCAGGAAGCCAGAAATCTCCTTCAAGGAGCTGGTTCACGAAATGCTTCCCGGCTTGGTCCGTGACAAGTTTCAGCGTTCGTAGCTCCGTGGCGAGTCGCCGATGTTCTGCTGCCTTTGCGCTGTGGTGCTCCTGGAATCGGCGTCGGATGGTTTAGGAGTTTAGGGCTGTTGGAACATGAAGGTACCGCAGTATTCGCATTGATGGTGACCCACTCGCACATGTTGCGCCCTGAAGCATGATCGAGAAGTTCAGTCCAAGTACGTGGTACAGTTCAAAGACTAGCTCAGCTAATTTGCGTTTCGGGAAGAAGAAGCCACCAAACACATCCAACAAGCTAAACCCCCGATACTGGCTAGCTTTTCACCAGTAACCCATTGTTTTTGTCTACATAGTCTCCGCTGAAGTGATCCCGGCCCCCGGTTGTTGGTAAGCAAGGTTCCGGATTCTGGGCTGATGGGACGAAACATTTTTTGCAAGCCTGCAGCAAGGGCGGAATGTTGCAGCTTGCGGTTTCGTCTACGATTGGAACCTGAGAAACTTAAACAGTGCGTCACGTTTGTCGCATCACCCCCTGCAAAATCAAGCCCTGAATCCGCGTGTTACATCTCGGACTGAGGCTTGACTACGACATGACCCAGGCAGGCCTGACGCTGCCAGCGTCAGCAAGGGACATCATGAAGAGACAGGACATCGGAGGAGGGTGGAAAGTCTGTGTAGGGCGTCTTCTTGGGCAGAAAGGGTGTTGAGGCCTGATCATTGGAGGCTCTGTGCCGTCCGAATACACAGATTTTACTTTTGCGTCCGAAAGTTGCATCCAGGACAAGTACTGCTAATGCCGGCGGTTCTGAACATCTGAGCCACTCTCACTATTTTCAGGAGCCACCTTCCGGAGTGGCGATTTAACAAAGACAATGTCTTGATGATAAAACTTGTCTTGGTTCAAGATCCCTATAGACCCCATGCCCGGAACAGACTTAAACCCTGACTGTAATCCGGTCGTATGTTCAAGACCAAGGAATTTCAGGCAGCAGCCCACCTGGTCACAGTGGCCGGGGTTTCTATCATTTGACACAACAGATGCCGGGGTTTGCGCTCGCGACGAGTAAAGTTTGGCACACCCAAACTGCATGCCGTATACGGTTGTGCAACATCGCCGCTCCAAACTACAATTGCTAAATGCTACCAGATTGCAACGAAAAGCAGTGCTGACCAAGTGTTTGGATGAGATCTTGGATATAAATGATGTCATAATGAGATTCCACAGAGATAGAGAAAGACTTCATGACAGCCGCACACTACAAATCAGGCATAATCTCCCCATCTCTTGTATTACATCAGACTCAGTTGGGAAAGTGTTTCAAGTCGTAATAAGCGGAAGCAGACTGCCCAGGTTAGTCGAGCTGAAAAGGGCTTGGGGAAGTTCCCGAGTGATACCGTCATACTTGAATGGCAGGTTGCAAGGTAAGCAGGCCAGAGAAGGGGCAAGCCTGAGTTGGTCGAATAGTTGGTCTGTTTGGTGATTGTCGCTGCGAAGAAGGGTTGTAGTGCTCGGCTTTTCTGCTTCAATGTTACGAAGTCTCGGTTTTTGCTATTGCTCGACGTGACGTGGAGACTGGGAGTGTCTAGGCCCAGGACCTTCAGCAGATGCAGAGCGCATGCCCCGCCCAGAAGTATTTTGATGGAATTCACTTAGCCTGGCTGTCTTTGCACCTTCCTGGACTGGACTGAGATAATGTGCTCAGATCATAAGGAGTGTCCTATGGCGTGCGAGTCTATCCTTACCCGTGCTACCGGCATCTCCGAGCAAAGCTCGCCAGAGAGAAGGTGCAAACGCATGCTGCTACAACGAACGCTGAAACCTGGCTGATATCGCTTCCATTGCTTGGGCCGAGCACCTTTACAAAATTTCAGATGCAACAAGAAGATCCTGATAAGAGGAGTGCTCCTTAAGGACGAGACTCGGGTAAGAAGGTTCCCAACAAAAGCACTGGAACATCCTGTGCCAAAACGGTTTCATAAGCCTGACGTACACACGCACACACCAGCAATATTGCGGCTGCTACTCCTAGTTCTGCTTCTGCTCCTAGTCCTACTTCTACGACAACGACGACGGAGGGGTGCCACCTGCTGCCGATCCTCATGGCCGTGATCATTGACAACATGCACACCGCGACAGAAGTTAATGGATCTCCGCAGTAAGCCAATCTTGGGTGCTTCGACCTGGCACGGCCGAATCTCCACGACATTCTCCAATCGCGCAGAGAAATCAAGCCTCCCACGTGATATCCGTGTTGATGTTGAAGTTATTGTTGGTGGTGGTGATGCTGCAACTGTTGCCATAATTACTGCTTTGGTGTTGTGGTGGGTGTGATCGCCATGGTTCCTGTCCTCCTCTGTGTTATTGTTTTTTTTCTTGTTGTTGTGGTTGCGGTTGTGGTGGTGGCGACGGCAGCGCTGGTGGCGCTGGTGCTGATGCTTTTGGGTTATTATGGTCGGCACTCGTTTTGTTGCTGCGACGGTTGCGGATTGGTCGGTTTGCTGTTTGGTCTCTTTGTTGTGGTTGGTCTCGTGGCGCAGATTGCTGTAGCTATGTTGACCTTGGCGGTGCTGGTTTTCCCGGCTCCAGTCCAGGTGGGTTCTGAAGGTGCTTTCCGACTTGAGGGTTATGTGATGGGTTGTGAGGTACATGGAAGTGGATGGAGTGTTTCTGATTTAGCTGCACAAGAGTCGAAATCTACGGACACTGATACCTACCAGACCTACCACATACCGAGGTATCAGAATCGCAAAACTTCGGGCGAGCATGGTTCACGATCGAAATGCAGGCACTAGGTGGGCAGGTAGCTGAAACCATGGGGAAGGGTGTTTGCCACTTTTTTCCTCTTACAGGATTCCCTTTCGAAGCCTTTCCTGGTGTCAGACGGATTCAAGCCTCAAGGCAACATCCCGGCATGAGTCAACCCTCCTGGCTTGCATGAAGATGCCGAACTCGAAGCCTCGAAGGACTTGTCACGAAAACCGCCTTGTTCGTGCTGGTGTAAGCTTCTCAACGCAAACAGAAAGCTGCAATCTTCGATGACCGCCAAACATCAGCCTGCAATCTTTTCAAACATCGCTGCCCCGGGCTAAAAAACCACGAACCATGCCAGGGGTGCCAGAGCCGGAGCCCGAAGAGGCCGAACGACTCCCCGGATAAGGAGAGACCTGGGCCTTGTGCGGCCGACTTGGGCTTGAGGGCAGCTCTTTAGGCATTACTCGTTGCAGGGTTATGGACCCGAAATGCTCAAACATCCTGAGCCCAAGATCCCAAACCGTTATGTTCCACAAGATAGGCGGTGCAGATTAGCATGCCGCTTGTGGCTTACGTCCTTAGCAGTAGCCGTAGCTCTGATTTCAAGGCTGCAGTGTGCCACAAGTGACAGGTTTCAGGATTTGGTCACTGCCCCGAGAAAGAATACTGGTGGTGCCTTGTCAGTGGTGGCCACTGCAGCAGTGCCGATTTTGGAGGTTTTTTCAGGTCAAGTTAGCCTTCTGCGGGCGATTGTCCCACTGCCTTGTTCCGTGTGGACACCTGTCCTGAAAAGTTGCTCGGGTTATGATTATCAAAACTGGGAGTTTCGGAAAGTACGAGCAGATAGTATGCCCTGATTAAACGGCCCATTAAGTAAGGAGCCTCATCGTAAGCCCTCCTCAGGCACCAGTTCTGAGATGTTTTCAGAACCTCCCAGGTCGCAGGGTGTGACATCAACGCGAAAGGCGTTTGTCTTGTCGCACGGTCCTCCCGTGTCCGGAGCAGGTTCTTGCCGAAGGCAACCCTGCAAGCAGCTGCTGCATTGTGAAGTTTAGTCGGCACCTCTAGTCCTTGTAGCTGCATGCATGTTCCATCCTCAGAACTGATCCAGTCTGCCCACTTTCTCTCAGATCAACAACATGGAACTTTGGATTGCGGCGAGGGTACGACTCGGCACGAGGTATACTATACGTACAATACATACATAGCATTCTATGTATAAGTCAATGACGTTTGCATGCCAAATGAACATGAATATGTATACAATCTTGTATATACATACGTACATACATATGGATGTATGTTTGTACCTATGTACGTCTGTAGGTATGTATGTACTATGTATCTATATGTATATGTGTGCATACACGTGCGTGTATGCTTCTGTACACATCTTCATGTGTGTATATATATATATGTATTATATTATATATATATATATCACCCACGCATCTGAATGCTTACAAGGCGAGCTGTTCGAGGCACTGCAATACCTGGGTTTGAAGGGGACCATGCTGGAGTCTAGCATGTTGGTCAGCGAGACTCTCAGCGGGGATATCGGTTTGATCAGCAGGAGTCGAGAATGCCATTGGTGCCGACAAGCTCCGTCTTGGTCCAGCAGTCACTAGTGCTGCTGGAGGAAGGCGTGTTTTGCACCTGCAGCCTCGAACCGAGCTTCGTCTTACATCGACGGGAAAGCTTGCAGCGCCGCTTTGGATTCGACTCTCAAACTTAGGCTCGTTTGTGTCGCAGGGCTTATGTTTTGCAGGGCTAAAACATCATAGTCCAAAGCCTCAGCCCTGCACACAGTGCAAGCGGTGCTTCTTTAGAAACTGCATACTTTCAAGGCTACCACCTGTATGGCAGTGCTGTCTGCACTGTCTTCCTGTGCAGGGCCAGGATATTGCAGAGGTTTGTTGCATCAGAACATGTAGCCTCATGCTTGAAGGGCCAAGACCGTGTGTAACACTGGTTTAACTACGGTTTCAACCACCGTTGGTTTTCAAAGAGGCTTGTGGCTGTCGGGTGTCAGCAGTTGCTGATGTTCGATGCACTGGTTTGACCACACGTTGTACCCTGGTTTGCAGCCGTCAAAACCCTAATCTTATGATGCATGCGTCCCCGATGCAAATTTTCGTGGACCTGTATGTGTCCTAGTTCAACATGATCATTGATGAGCTGCTTCTGCATACTGCCCTGGATTGTACACTGTGCCGGAAAGCCCAGGTTTTCATTGGCGAGGCGGGCGGAACCATCGGTTCAAGGGCTCAGCAAATCTTGAATGTTCTGCTCCACCTCGAATACAGCAGGAGGAGAACGACTATGTGCATAACACTATGTTATTAATAACACCGTAAACACGAAGCTGAAGGCTGCTGATGAGGATGTTCATGATAGTGTTGGTGGTGGTGATGACCAAGTTCATCTTGGTCGGTATGACCATGCTGACCCCCCACCCCCACCACCACTACCAGAAACAGCAGCAGCCGAACACTTTCCCTACAACCGGGAAAACCTTGAATCTGATGCTGCATCAGGTGTTTTTTTTTTTCCGCTGGGTTTTCTACTTTTTCCTTTCTTCAGGCGGCATTCAGGTTCTGTTTTTTTGGGGGGTACCGGCTTGCAAGTATGTTCGGCGTCGAACAAGCGCCGTGTGTATCCAACTGAGCTAGAGACGCACCGGGGGAAACCCCTTTTTCACTTTCTTCGCTAATTTATCAAACGGGCCGGGAGCCTCCCAAGCACCTCGATATTTTTGCCTCTTCTCGAGGCTCTGTAACACTGTAACATACCGCATTACTTCCTACTTACCCTGCCGGGAACTTTTTTCTCAATTGCTCTTTGCAGACAGGTCCCGGAGCGGAATGCCCACTGTCTGTAAAGCCTTTTTCTCAGATGGCACCCGCAACAGTCGGGGGCGCACGAGCACGCGGGTAAGGGGGAAACACGGCCCACAGCCCTGGCGAAAGAAAGAAATGAATACCTTTAGATCATATCAACAAAAAATAAGCAGCATACAGGCCCTACGACCTTACGATTTGATCAGAGCTTCAGCATGGGTCGAGCATCGTCCAGCGTGAGGGTTGTTAGGATACAACATGTTTCCATGCCCGTCAACCCCGCCTCCCTCACCCGCCGCACCCGCGAATATCCGGCGGTGTTTGGTCTGTGCAGGTGTCACCCCCTCGGCGCCGCCCTCCGAGTGACATCCGAAGGAAGCTGGCAGAGGCAGCTTCGCCGGCCACGGGGTTTGGTCTTGATGCGGAGTTCAGCACTTCGGCTCAGTTTCCTGCGTGGCTTCGTAGGTAGCTGGTCCAGAAATGGCATACTTTTGCGGCTTGCTGTAGGTCCCTTTGCAGTGCTCAACATTCATTGCCATACCAGCAGCACACGTGCAACACTGCATGCTAGCAAGCAGTGCTGCAACATTGGTATTCATCTCGCTCTCCGAATAGATGGAAGAGACCTTAGCAGGCAATTATACCTGCAGCCAGAATTTGATAGTCACAAGCTTGACGTCCTGGACGCTAAACCCTTTTTGTTTTGTAAATCTCAAGAACCTGCCCGCAGATGTGGTGGCGCTGGACGCAGCAGCGGCGGAGAGAGTATCTCGGCGAGACCTTTCGAGCCTAATTTTGGCGACGGTAGTTATGACTGATTATATGTGTATATATGTGTATAAGTTACTGATAAGTTACAGTTTCAGACATCGGCACAGAGAGAGAGAGAGAGAACGAGCGACAGAGAGACAGAGAGACGGAGACAGTGTACTTGTTCACAGTCCCTTCAACCAACCCCCAAAATTGGGGGGGGGGGGGGGACCCTCGTGGCCAGGGGGCGTAACACGCTCCCAATGCCCTGTGGAAGAAGACGGAGACAGAGAGACGGTCTTGCACGATCAGCACTAGTGCTGGTCCACGGCCGAACACACGCAGTCCACCACAACAGCAGCAGCAACAAAGTGCGATGTGCAAATCGCGACAAATTCACAGTTTGGAGTAGCTGGTGACTTGGTGGCCGTGGTGGTCGTTGCAAGACTGAAGAGACCGGAGGGAGCAGTGTGGAACAAATGTCTGAACAGGGCTGGTTGAAATACAAGCACCATATCAACAACGTATTGCAGGGCACTACCAAGCCTCAAAACTTGAATTCGCTACATGACACTGATTTTGCAACGATGGTCGCAGCAGCAGTTAGCAGAAGCAAAAAGACCTTGAAAAGTGCATCCCCCTTCCTAGGCAGATGTCCGAAGCTATATCTGCAGATGCAACACTGGCGCCGGACTGCGATTACCAGCAGCTGTCAGAAGGCCGTTGTGACAATCCTGAATTTCTGATTTTCGGTTTGGGTAAATTATGGGAGTACTTAGGCCGTTGGGGCCCACTGGATTCGCAAACTCTCAGGCTTTTGATTGAGAATCTGTTGACGATCAGAAGACTGCCTGCCGCCTGCCTTGTTGAGGCACATGAGGGCAGCCGGCCAGAATTACCTTGGTTCAGCAGCTGTCTACAGAGAACTTTTCCTGACAGTTCTGGCACGGGATGTTTTCGTGGGATCTATGTGCCACCGCAAGCGCCGCAAGATATCCTACGACTATAAATTAAGTCTATATGTAAAGTCAAGCACGAGCCTTTTTGGAGTTCATCTCGTGACGTATAAGTGAAAATGGGTGTCAGGGCCAAGATCGTCGTTGTTGTCAGTTGCTGTCTTCGGAAGCACGCCCCGTTTTCCAACAGGCCTTAGGTGTCGTATGTGACGCGGTACAGAGTCTGACCAGAGTTGGGTGACCGGTTCTCTCCAAGCACCAGGGCAGGCCTTTTCGGGACAGGGTCGCACCCTGCCAAGCTTCAAGTTTTGAACACGGGAGGTCCTGGACACCCAGCAGTTTCGCGGGAGCCTGAGAGTGCTGGCGAGTTTGTGTTGGGTGCATGTTTGAGTCCAATGCTTAACCATGCACCACGAGTGCTGCATCCGGACATCCACATTAGGCGTGCCCACACAAATGCACAGCACACAGCAACTAACCACGAGAGCAAAACCGCATTGTCACCCCTGCTGCTAAAGGCTGCTTTTTGGATTTGCTTCTGAGGTCGACCGCGAACAGCTTCCGAGACTTCTGGTTAAGTCTTGGTGGTGGACCCCTTGAGATAGGCCTGGAACCAGGATTTTTCTGGCCCTCCTGCCGCAGAGAGGGAACAGTTGTGGGATCTAGCTCAAAGCCAGGAACGACTCGCGTGATTTTTGTGCTTGAGCTTGAATTCAATGGCCACTCTATCCGAAGACTGTCGTGAAAGCGGCTTCATCAAACTTTCCAGGGTTGGCATCGCTGCCGCTTTGTTCGTCTGTAGGGATCTTAACCATTCAATTTCCCATGTCGCATGCTAGGCCGGTCCTTTTGGCTCCTTTGAAACACACAGTCTGCGACATTGGATTCAGCAGAGTTTCTGTTCCGAATACTATAATAACACTATAATAATACGATATTAATGCTATAAGAACCTTTTGCAGGCCAGAACTGCACGGGCCAGTCTCGTTTTCGGCTATTTAGAGAATTACCCAGATGTGAACCTGGCAGATGCACACAGCTTCTTCTCAGTCCAAGGCACAGAGTCGCGGCAGGTGTAGGCTTTTTTGGAAGCTCTCAGGGAGCCCTGATCTCGCCTCGAAGAACCCCCGATGCCTACATCTGAGTGCAGGCGAGCCATATCCGAGGCAGGGAAGGCCAAGCTGCACTTGTAACACCTCTGGAGCACCTACAGACTCGATCATATCACTCACCCGATTCGCTTCAATGAGGCGGCGTGTGGAAATCAAGCTGTTTTTTTCCAGGTAGCGAGTGTGGTGGGGGACCGGCAGTGAAAGTTGGACTTTTGCGCATTTCGCCCTCGCCCTACGACTGAAAGCCGTTGCGGTACCAGCACCTGTCATATCCAGTCGAAGTTTAAGGCTCCTATGTGTCGGACTTGATCAGCTTTTGGCAGTTTTGCGTGCGCATGTTACATGTTGTTACGGACTTACGGATCTCACAAAGAGCTGTGGATTTCGATCCCGAAGACCAAGTTGAAAGGCGGCCTTCGTGGGGCAGCGCCGGCTATGCGCCTGAAGGACCAAGTTTAGAGCTGTCCTTTTCAAGAGGCGGGGGGCTCCAGTCTCCTGTTTTGGAATCGTGGAGTCCATGTTGGGCTGGGAGATGGCTGCCTGATGTTGCCGTTTGCTGCACCCTCCAAATCGGCCACTGTCGAGTTGAGGAAGTTGAGGCGGAAGACCTTAGTTTGTGCAAGACACGAGAAACTCTTCACATCTTGTTGGCGCCTTCCCCCTTTGCATTGTGCTCAGTGCTCTCTCTCTCTCTCTCTCTTTCTCTCTCTCTCTCTCTCTCTCTCTCTCTCGCTCTTCCCCTCTCTCGCTCTGTGTCTCTGTGGATCTGACCCTCTCTTTTTGTCTAGGTCTTCTGTCTCCCTTCATTACCTGGCGTCATCCGGGACAGCATCTAAAGATCAGTGACGCTCAGTGATCTCACTTCCGGACATGCAGCGGTTAACACCCCGGAGCATCTTGAGACAAATGTTATTCGTCGTTGGCTTGCTTGACTGCAATGATGGATGGCCCTTTACAGCTCAAGCTGGGAAATCGGCTGCTGGATATCCTCCGAGCTATAACTGTCCCTGGGATGTGGGAATTCCCAGCGCATTTATTAGTTGTTGCCGCCTCTGTTCGACACCTGTCAAGTGGACAGTGCCGCTGTTCAAGCTCGGATGTTGTTGTACAGAGGCACCGTCTCTTTCATCTGTATTGTTGTGTCATGGCGTGTGCTATGCGCATCTTTGCAACCACCAGGGTCCTGGGTTTAAAGCTGACACACTGTAGGAACCGACGCAACAGCCATGTTCGAGATTATGCCCGAAAGGAGACAAGCCTGAAACCTACGCAGCCACCGCAGATATATTCCTGTACATAGCATAATCAAGAAGCCCAAGACCCACATGGCAGAAAGCCGGAGCGTAGCAATCTCAGACCGTCCAACTCCATGCCAGGCAAGCGCGAGTGTGTGAATCGAAAGCCGTAGCCGTAGCCCAGGTAAACATGATGTTCGCCGTGGCGCTCCTGTCACTTGGGCAGCTGTGCGCCGCACTTCCTGGAGGCATTCACGGTCATAATCTTTGTCAAGGAGTTTCCTGTTACCTGGGACCTTTCTGCATACTTGTTGTACGAGGGGGGGGGTTATGCAGGCTGCTGGACCTCCGACAGGACCGTTTTGTTTGGATTCCTTGGCGATGCACAAACCCCTGTATGTGAGCAAGCGTGCGTAGCTGGCCAGGTTTAGGTGGGTTTAACAACCTGTTTTGGAGTTTTGAGCGCAGTGTGATGAGTCGTTTGTTCAGCGTGTCGCTACTCGCGCGAAGGTTGTGCCGACATGTTTGGCCAAAGCGCCCATGCTCAGAATTCCGAGAAATGATACAATTCCATTTTGCTGCTGGATGTCCGGACTGGTTGCTTTGGAATTTCATGCAGGTATCCCAGTGGTGCCCATCAAGGGCATCCACGGCACCGTGGATTTTCCCCTGCTGGGGATTGGCACCTGGCAGTACAACAGCACCGTCGCCAAGGACCGGACGACCCGAACTGAACCTGGCTTTTTTAGTTGTCAGTTGCACTCTCTCTCTCTCTCTACGAGTGAGATCAAAAATCTGAGACAACAAGACTAGATAAAACGCACCCACAAAGCCCTGCGCTCACAGCCTCAGAGTTTCCACGGCCAAGTCGATCGCCCCTCGCGTCGTAAGCCCAGGCCTCGAGGCCCTCACTGCTTCGCCCATGAACCTCAACTCAACATCTGGGCACTAGGGTGCGGCTTCCTGTTCCCATGATGGATGGCGAAATAGGCAAGGACAGAAAGATACCAGTCGATCCTCTGTGTGGCCAGTGGTTTTGGGGAGCCCTTCGGTTCAGCTAAAGCACTCGACTTTGCGGCTGGCCCAAGAAGGAGAACATAGCTTAGCAGCAATTTGGAATTGTCGAAAGCGCCCGGTAATTAGCAGTGGTTCTTTTGTATCGGAAGATGGCCGTGGCTGTGGCGAAGATTCCAAAGCAGCGCCGGAGCGTGGCCTTCGCAGAGGAGCCGAGCAGCCCTCCTCCCAGGCTTTCGGAGTCGGAGCTCCTACACCGAATGACACAGAATCATGAGAGCATGGTGCGGGGGAGAGCACTGGCGAATTCAGAAACCATTGCCCCCTTTGCAGAGGAGTGTCAGAAGAGGCTGGAGAGTCTCCATGGGTGGGAGAGTCACGGCATCGACTTTAACCACGAAGCCACGGAGGAGGTTAAGGTGGAAGAACGCTTTCTGTTGCCAACGAGCTCCAGCCAATTCCCAGTGACAGTCCTGGATGGCGTCCTTAGAAAGGAGATGTGTGAGTCATTCATAAGTATCCATGAGAAGGTGGGCTTTGCTCGTCCACCTTCACTCCTTGTTCATCTAGCAGAAAAGAACAAACTGGAGGAAGAAGATGAGGAAGATCTCCTGTTGAAGCTCGCTTACGAGCAAGCCAAGAACACTTCCGAGCTTGTCCAAATTGAGTCTGTGGACTTTGCGGACTACCTTTGGAAGAAGCTGGAGCAGTTCCTTCCCGACGAGCACCGCCACGTCGGGAACTTCACCAGTGGAGTTTATGAGAAATGCGGAATCGTTCCAGTCTTTCGGTTCATGAGGTATCAGAGAGACCAGGGTTTCAAGCCCCACAAGGATCCCGAACGTGCATACGCGGAATATCCCCTCAGATCTGGCGCTGCAGCTGCACACGGTGAGTCGGGAATCTACAAGTCCTTTTTTACGATCGCCCTATATTTGAATGACCCTGCAGAGTTTGAAGGTGGCAAGCTCAATTTTGTCCAGATCCACGTGGATGATGTGGGCGACAAGACATACGAGTCCCAAGCCACCGTCAACCCCGCCGTAGGACGCTGCGTTCTGTTTGCACACAACGAGCTGCACGAAGGTGGCGGGGTGCAATCTGGAACCAAGTACATGTGCCAGTGCGATGTCCTGTACAAGCGCGTGAGGGCTCTTCCCTGAGTTCGGCACATTCCCCCAGGAGTTTCAGTGCCCTCCCAGTCCTGCAGATGCTGGTGCGAGGGCATCTATGCATTTGCAGCTCGCCGGCCTCCATGTCGTCAAGAATTTAAGCAACGGGTTGGCCGAGAGAAGCTGCCATAAGTGTCCAGCTTTGTTCATGCCCATGTCGACCAGTTGGGTCCAAAGGGCCTCCGATAATTCCCTGTGACCTCGGAAAGGGGCACTCAGTCTGTCGGCTCCTTGATGTACAGAACCCAAGTGACGCCTGGAAGAAGCACCTGCTGCAACCGTGCGAATAGGTTGTCCATGTGTGGTGCCTACCTTTTTGAGAGCCCGAGAATGTGGCTGTACATACATCCCTTCGGTTAGAGTTACAAGATCTTATAAGTAGAAGTATAAGCGTATACTGCAAAGCTATTCGATCATTCCCTTGTACCAAATTTAAATTGAAGGAATGCGGACCATCAACCTCAGCTTCATCTGCCAAAGTCCGAGCATAAGAGCGTGTAAGCCAGACGTAGCCCCAATTGCGAAGACTCCTTCGAAGCTTCAGTATGGGCGAGCTTTGCCAGGAGACTGTGATCTCCGCCTTCTCCTTGGGATACCGGCATGTGGACACTGCGTCAGTCTACCAGAATCAGAAAGGAGTCGGGGCAGCGGCTTGGCATTTTAAGTGGCCCATCAACCTCCGGTTGGGTGAGGAATGTCGCGCTGGGGCTTTGGGACATCAAGTCGCCTTCTTTCTGAAAGTGAGTATGCCGCATCGGTAGCACTCCTCATCGCTTCATCCCAAGCCGCAGAGGCCTTGGCTGAGATGAAGATGGAGCGGGACGAGTTCTTTGTGACATCCAAGATTCCAGGAGACGGTGGCTTCTGGGGCTTTCAAGAACTCCGAAGCCAGTGACCTCGGATGATTCCTGACGGTGAACCCGCAACTTCCACAAGACAAATATCGAATATGTTTGCTGGAAGCCCACGAGGCACCATGCACCCTGTTGATGTGAGATGCTGCTAAATGTCTTGTAACCATTATCGCACGTGTAACTTTCAATTCTGATATAATCTGTTACGTATACGTTCCTTGTTATTTCCGATAGCCTGCGAAGCCAAGTTCTGATTCTGCGATCGGACAGTCGGACCGTAAGCTTCCTTGTAGCCATTTTGGCTCCAGTTTGGCTCAAAAGAGCCAGACGGATCCCGACAACCCCTGGGATCAATCTGGGTGTAGGCCCACTTCATACAGAGCCACGGATCAGGTCTCCTTCTCATGTTCGCAAGATGTCGTTTTGCGTTTGCCTGGCCCTGCTGTTCTGCCTTCTTTGGCAGAACCTCGGCGACCTCTGCGAGGAAGAGCGAGCAGAGGTGATGCTCCTCCAGTCTCAGCTCCGAGTGGAAAGCTCGGGTCTTGACCTTAGGTTTGTGGGGCGCAGCTTCTTCTCCACGGATCCGGTGAGCACGGCTGGGTGGTGGCTGAGATACAGCACTTCCCACTCTTTGAATGTGTATGACCTGCCGGTCATGGGCCTGGTGGAGGCCGAGGCAGCGGCAGCCGTTCAGATCACCTCTCGGGAAGGTAACGTGGAGCAGCTTTACTTTCTGAAGGCACCGAGTTGGAGGAGCGATCAGAACTTGACCATGGAGGATTTCGTGCGAGCAGCGGAGATGTCGTGGGCTACGGTGATGGATAAGAAGCAGCTCTATACCCCGTGGACGGACTATCATGACGGGCACAGGGTGGAAACGATGAGGATCGATAACTTTCAAGCAGACAGGCATCATTTCCAGAACTATGTCCCGCTACAAACAAACGACTCTGCGATTAGAATTATCCGTGACTACATCCCTAACACGACCTGGACCATGGAATGGTTTGCAGGCCTCGGCTCGTCGATGACGCTGCCTCTGGACTATATGGATACGGAGGCTACGGCAGATCCAGATGCCTGCCGGAAAGTCGATCGCCTATTCAAGAAAAACATGTGGTGGAAGAGTACTTTTGCTGTGACCAACGCCTCCATTGCTCGAGACTTTGCCATCAGAATCCTGGGAGCTACACCTGCAAGTGATCCGTTTCCATGGCCACCAAACAGACACTGCATTGCAGCTCAGTGGGTCACCTTGCCGTACAGTGGCCCTCGTCACTGGAAAGCCTTGCAGCTCCACTTCGTGGAAGATCCTGTCTACCGCAGTACCTTGCATGGTATTCCCGCTTTCCAGCAATATCAGCAGGAGTTCATGCGAAGCCACACTGACTGCATCAACAGCTTCATGCTCAACAACCTGGTCTTAAAGGCCGAGTCCTTGGATCCCTTCATCAAGCGCCTGTCAGAGGCCTCCACAAGCTACTTTGTCTCCCAGGTCCGCGCTGCCGATTCAAAACATGACGCCACGTACGCCTTGATATTCTCTTTTCCCGGCAATGAAGGCGTGACCATCCAGATTCGCAGTGCACATGTGAGTGCTGCCTCTCCTACACCTTTCAAGCTGTGTGTGTAGCACACCCTGGGCTGGAGCGAATTTGACCTGAAGGTCTTGGCTCGTGCCATGGGGGATGCATGCCTCCAGAAAGCATCTACCGCTTGGGAACATATATGGTATCTCCCCAACAGTGTGCGTCGTCAGAGAACGGTTTGGCAGCATGGCGCCAACACTAGGCATGGAAACGCGTAAGGCGCCTGAAGGCATCTGCTCACGGACGGCGCAAGTCGGCCCTCGAGGAAAATCAAACCTTGTGGTGCGGACCTCAACCCGAACTGTAGTGAGCACACGAACCAGGAGACCTTGTCTGGCTGAGTCCGCGAGAGCGTGTACCTTCCTTGCTCCCATGACGGGTTGAAACTTCAATGACCATGCAAGTTTCTCACTTGTTATCTCTAGTCACTAGTCATATAAGTGTTACATGTTTCGATGTAGGCACATACTTATGCATCTTTGCCATAGTGTAGGTATGCTAGTATGTCATACTCGTAATAAGTATGCAGGTCTGGGGATGCACGCCTGCAACTTCCATCTGCCATCTCGCTGTAGGTGTATGCATGTACCGCTTGCATGAGAAGGGGTCAGCGGTTTGACCAGGAGGCCTCAATGCCTCGGCCACAGCTGCAGCAGCCGATGCATGCCTTGAGGAGCTGGGCCTGTGCCTCGGCCAGCGCCGGTTCGGATTTCAGTAAGTTTAGCCAGAATGAATCGCATGTGCACTTTTGGGCCTTTCGTTCCAGAGGTGGGCTTCGCAAGGGCGCCGTTCGCATGCGGGATGTTTGGATTTACAGCACCTTCGGAGTTTTAGGTCAGCAGCTTCGGCACGTAGCTGAGCAAGTGCACCTTTGAGTGCTAGGCAGCACCTCAGGAGTTCTGTGTCCTACAAATGTCCTACGCCCTCACCCCGAGTTTCGTTTCTCTATACCTGCGGGTAGCCGGGATCTTTGTGAACCTCTCAGCTTAAATTCTGCTGCATTCCTGAGCCTTGCAGCGCACAACAAAGCCCTGAGATTTGAACCTTCAAGCTGACTCCTTACAGCAAATGCTAGTGAGGAAGTTCGTAGATCTCATGCTGATCCACTTCCCGGCTGACTTCGGGAAGAATGGCTCGGCTAAGGCCAGGACATTCAACAGACCCGGGTTGCTTGAGGTTCACGTGTGTTTCGGATTGTTTATACCTTCAAAGGGCGGGTTAGGGGTGGTGAGGGTTTGGGCGTGAGCCCTTTAGAATGGGGTTGCTCCATACGGGCAGGCGGGGCTTTTACGGAGGTTTGCAACGTCTTGCGTCTCTGTCACATAGCCGCCAGAGCCAGTCGAGCTACGGGTCTCTAAACAGGGCTCTGGTGAGAGGATCTCGGAAACAATGTCGTTTGGAGTCATTGCTTAGCTTGGCGAACGCCGGCGCACCGCGACTTGTTGACTTGGTATACTCGCCGCATCTCGCCGCTCAGCAGAGCGAGATCAAGATTCTTGAAGAGAGCCCTGTGTTGATCTACCCAACACTGCCGTCTATTGAATCGAACCAGCTTCACAGACTCTAATTGCTTTCGCCCCGACGAGGCGAAGATGATGCTTGTCGTCTTTTTGTTTCAAAAAACCAGACAGAGGTAGGCCCACCCTGTCAAGCAGTTGCGAGCGGCCCTACTAAACTCGTTCTGAACCTCACCTCCCGAAATCTACAAAGCCGGGGGAAAACCGAAACCCCAAACGAAACGCAACATTGGAACTCGTGGAAGCCCCCGGCCCAAGACCTCCTTGGAGGAGCGTCAGACCGAGTGGACAGCTTTAGAGAACTGGGCCAAGTCCGGCAAGGACCCCGATGTTTCTGCAGTCATGCTCATGGAATCTCATGGATTAGGGTTCGGTGCACTCTTCCTGATTGATGATGGGGTTGAGAATAGGGCATGGGGCCATTTGACCACATGGCCTGCGCGATGCTCATTCTGTGCGTGTTATCCGGAGAAGCCCAACCCGGCAGGCGCGGGCAATCGGTGTTTCCCACTACTGCCGTCGGCAGCTAGATGATGTGCTGAAGGCTCGTCCCGATCAAGAAATGGGACACAATATGACACAATCACATCCGATTGTAGATCAGGTCTGACCGTGTGATAGTCGGAGGGATGAACGGGTGAATTGATGGGCTTTGTGGGTCCGTCGACATGGGAAGCTTGACCCCGAATGCTCACTTTTGTAGGAGCAGCAGGGTGACGGGTCTGAAAAGCTCGCCCTAGAAGCTCTGCGGGGCCAAAACAAACTAAGACGCAGTCAGCTGTGGACGCACTGCAGTCGCGATGAAAGCCACTTCACTGCACGCAAAGTGCGGATTTCCCATTGTAGGCCTGCTCAGAAGATGCCAAGCAGTGGCCAATCGAAGCTTCGGTTTTCCAGCTCGCGACCTGTTTGCCACGCGACGGGACCCATACAAAGTCAAGTTCCGCCGCAACGGCCCTCAAACTACGCATTTCTACCACAAACCAACGGAGTCGAACCACTACGCCCGGGACAAAGTCCAAGGCACCTTTGCAGTCACTACGAACCCTCTTGCACGGCGCCGCCAGCAACATCCTGCATGGCGTGAAGCACTTCAATCGCAGTGACCGCACGGAAAGGCGTTTGATCCTCACCTTGCAGACCGGTGGCAACACGGACATTCGCCTGTGACAGAAAAGCCGACCATGCAGACACACCGGCATCGGCGGAGTGGCAACAAAAACGGAGTCCTCAAACGCATGACGGAGGGCCTGCCGAACATCACGACGGGCCACCTGTGCGTCATCCCGCACAGGGCCAGGCTACCCAGGAAACACCTTGGTGAACAACGATCACAAGGTGCACGATAGCTAGCAGTGCTAGGGGCAGCAGACCATGGTGAGGTCTTGACGGCAGCTTCCCGGCGCAGAGACAAGAGACAAGTGCATCTGGGTACTCCGGACCGCAGCGAAGTTCCAGTGACTCAGGCCCGTAGCATAGCGAGCAGACCGAGTTTCACGGTCCCCGCAAGAATGCTCAAACAGAGCACGATGTCGTTTAAGCAATGCCACACCAGGCTCGGGTTGGGGAAGGTCCAATTCCGTCGTCAGGCCAACATGGTGATCATGAGACCGGTGCATCGATTTCTTGATCCTGTTGCAGGTGGCAAGGGCACGCATTCTAAACGCGAAGGAAATCATCGAGGATAGCAGTACTATCAATGCCCACAGCGAAACTGCGACGACATCCAATAACATCAGCTCTGGATATTTCGGTGCCGTCAGCAGAAAAGGACAGAGGACAAACGAAGCTGAGACAAAGTAAACGCAGGGTGCGGCAGAAGCACAGCCCAAGTCCAACCGCGCCAAATCATGCCACTGCCTGGAAGTGCCGGCAAAACGGGAAGCAGCGTGAAGATGGGCTTTAGCCGTGGGGAACATCGGCTCAGCATCCCATCTCAGGAACTCAAACAAACCGCAGCGGGGCATGTCTTGAGCCAGCTTATGTGAGAAGGCCAATCTGGCATTCTCAGCAAGAACACTCAAAGCAGCGTCATCCAAGCTCGCTATGCCGCTGGCCCAGCACAGTGCAGGAAGGACCAGGCTCTTCATCAACCGACGTCTTTCGGGCCACTTGAAGGAGACATTGGCGATGGCGCCGATAACGTGCTTGAGGCGGCCAGTCTTCGGCAATGGAAGCACGACACAACGACAACTGAGCCCAGCGGCGCTATGGAAAGCATCCGATCTGCAACAAGGGCACTGGGACGATCCCGATTCAAGCACCAAAAGAGTCGATCATCGGCATAGACGCTGATTTCGAGGGCTCGCCCGAAAGCTAGCAGCTAACAGCTAGATACTGCGCCCAGCAGAACATCAAAGCAAAGCAAAAAGAAACAACCCTGCAACACAGCAGCGCTCCAACTCTCGGCATGGAAGCCGCTCATGACAAAGTTGTTTTTTTGCACAAGAGGTAAGAGCTCGAACAAGATCGACCAGCATGTCGGGAGCATGCAACCTTCGGAGCACGGCAGTGATCGTGTCAAGCGGTATGTTACCCAAGAACCGGTGCAAATCTTGCGACGAACATGACAATCAAAGACCCCATGCTTGATCCCGGAGTCCTGTGAAAGCGAATCTACTTCCAGCAGGTAATTATCCAAGAGCACAGGTATCACGATAAAACTCGGGAGCTTTGCATGAGTTCGGGCTTCCAAACCCATCATAGACTCGACTCATATAGACCGACGTGCCGCAGAGGTGGCCACGGTCCCGGTCGCCGTGAACCAGGCCGCTGTTCAGGTTTCAAGGCTGAGAGCTGTGGAGGTTCGGAGCCAGTTCAGGGAGTTCGTTCCATGCCGTTGGTGGCGTTTGAGTTTCATGTGTTCCAAGATGGTCCAGGTGCAATACCATGTGGGCATGGGAACTGCCCCGACTGCCTCCACCGATGACCGGGACTACATGAGGGCCAAGGGCGTGCTGTGGCCAAGAGTTGCTGAGTTGCTCGGTATTGTGTGTGTATTTGGGTGGGAGGTCGATGGAGTGAAACCAGACATCAGCAGCTCATTGCGGAAGAATGTCTAAAGGCTCATAAGCTGTTTGAGAAAAGTGATCTTTGACACGGGCACCGTGTCTTCGCTGAGACAATGAGTCCCTGCGGTCCTGCGACACTCAACGCGTAGATTGCGTACAGCCCTAGCTTTGGCCTGGCCCTGCTGCGATAGGATACCCTGCGTTCGATTCGTGCCCCAGAATGCACTCACTCACTCAGTCATTGGGAAAACTTACAAGGACACAGTTATATTATGTATATATCCGTTACATATACACTTTCTTACAATACATACTTGTAACTGTAAATGTGTACCTTTGTACATCGCTTTATGCATGTTGGAGAAGCAAGACCTGTAGTGGGAACCAGGTTTGTGTACACTATTTGCATATTTGTCGAAACTTCAAGCCATTATTGCCTGACAGCTGGCACTCCGAAATTACAAGGCAAAGCCGAAGCCTACCTGCAAGCATCTACATATGTGTTGGTACCGTAGT